GATTGATGGCCAAAATTAACTCAGAAAAGAAGAAGAATCTTCCGCGAACCTAGCAGAAGACAACATTAAAAATGGACGGATGCTGAAACATGACCTTTGACCGGTCAAAAGAAAGTAAATAAAGAAATTGTTCTCCGATAAAAATAGTATTAAATCCAAGCATTGCATTATCAAAGATATGAAATTACAACAATAGGGCACTTTACAATGTCAGAAAAATCATTTCACAGAAAAATCTCAAAATTACCAAAAATCGTCTCAAGAGGGCGCTGTGTTCAATTTCATGTCTCACAGTTAACTCCTACATACTGGGTAACCTTTCATTTTTCTGAAATGAAAATCAGATTGAATGTGTAGGAATATGAATGAATTACATTTGGAACACATGTTAATAATTCATTAGGAAGGGATTGTGAGTGATGTCATGAGTTCTCTGTCGTCGTTAGATCTGCATTTTAAGCACTATGGCTATTAAAGTTTGCTGTATGGTGTATTAGATTGGAGAGATCAATTTTGACAAAGCCTATGAAGATGGAATCATTATTGACTAGCATTTCACTTATCACAGTTTGATGGAAATCACCTGTAAATAAAAAAAACTGAGAATCTGTGTAATCAGATTTCCCAGATGGCACTGAGCTGATAAACAAGGATTTGATATAATTCCAATAAAATTAAAAATCCAACCCATTATGACTGCAAATTTGAGAACGTCCTTACTGTAGGCATGACATCTCTGAATATTCCTCGTCAATCCTTTTGTTAGCAAATTGCCTCACTAGTTTTGCAATTTTGCAGAATGGTTTAGTTTGTATGATTTAAAAACACAGAAAATGCTGCAAGTTTTATATCTGTGTTTCCAATCGCACACAACCTTGCTTGCAATCCAATGAAGTATGTTGCTGACCAAATGGCAGACTACTGGTTGGTGTACTCTTTTCAGAGATAATCATTTGTTGGTGTATTTAAAAGAATGGAATAATGAACGAACCGTTTAAAATCTTCTAATTTTGAATTACTTTCCCAACATTCCAGATGAATATTCCAGGCAATGTTTCTCATTTCTCACACCTTCAATACTACTTTTTCAAGTTCTCCAAAGTTCCAGATAAGTTTACAGATAACATTCTAAAATTCAAGACAACACCATATCTTTCAAAGCAACTTTTTTTTATAATTTCCTAACTACTTTGTGATACATTTTTTTGAAGAACTTTCTTATTTTTAATACAAATAACCTCTAAAGATAGTTTTTTGAACTTATCTGGCATTCCAATTTAACCTTCAATTATATAGTATTTTTCTGTTTGCTGCAAAAAACGTTCACAAATTCCATAGCAACTTTCCAATGTTGGCAAATCACTTGCCAGGCTATCTTGACGAGTATTTCAATGTTCAAGGCAACATTTCATTGAATACGACCTTTGCTGACAGTTCCATAAAACTTTTCACATCACTAGACTACATTGCTATTGCAACACTTTCTTAACTATCAGTACTTTTCAGACAACTTTTAAATCAAGAAATTTCCTTCTGTTGTTATAATTCAATCCATTCGTATCATAGTATTGTATTTGTATGCACTCTTTACCAATTAAAAAAAATCACAAAAGTACAAAGAAAATGAGATTTTAATAAGAATTCTTTGGTCAAGTCATTGAAAAAAATTACATGAATGGTTCTATACCAAATATGTCACTGGTAATAGACAGTAAATTACACACAATACAATTACTGACTTGACAGAGTATCAGTTTTGGTTGATCAGTTTAAGAATATTCATTAGTATAAGCATATATACCAGTAATATGCATAGACGAATAATTTAGAACAAAAAATGGCAAGCAAGACTTATTTTCTACATACCAGCAGGTTTTTAAACACTCAACTATTTCAGAAAGCTGTGATACAGAATAAGCTTTTGACTGCTGAAGAAAATATTGTGAACACTTGTGAGGTATTGCTGGGTGTATATTAGCATCATTGAAATTTTCCTGAGTACAGTTCATCTTGTAAAACAACGGCCGCAATAATTATATGCCTGTCAGAAAATTGAGTTCTTAAATAGTTCCAATGACAACTAGGCACAGCATAGTATTTGTATGGACAACTCGCAATATTAAAGTAAAATTTAAACTGTTTCGATTTCCAGATTTATTTACTAATTGGTTGTCAGTTCATCTGGTTTTAAATGTCCAGAGTCACCGAGAAATCTCAGTGATACTCGGCCACTGGGTCTGATCGATACCCAAGTTATACTGCCATTGTAGAGACTAATTCGTAACCAGGCTTCAGGAGGGAATTGTAATGCTCTGCAAACATAATAAAAAATATATATCATATATTAAAACTACCAATGCAATGAATATATTCAGTTACTGTAAAATACTTTATTTTCGCTGGAATTAATTTTCACTGAAAAGACTTTTTGTTTTGTACGAAATTTATTTTCACTGATTTTTAACAAGTTGAATGTAAAATATAGGAAAATAGGTATATTCACAGGATTTTATTTTCACTGAATCATCCCTTCAGCGAAAATTAATTCCAAGCGAAATTTTACAGTATGCAACAATAACAGTTATTTGGAATACCATAATTGCTCTATTAGAAGTGTATGTGCTTAGGTACATAACATGTGTGTTTCTATGCGGAAAATATTGTAATCTTTCTGTATACAAAATATGTATATGTAACACTGGTGTAAAGAGAGAAAATATGGTCAGAAGTACACCATTCTGAACAACTAGTTTTGAAGTTTTATATTTTCATGAATAGCTCCCAGATAAGAATCTGTATTGTGAAGTTTAAACATGAATAGTCTTGGCATTTCTGAGACACAGGGGCAGATTCATGCATAGATACACCGATACAGAGGAATGCCACATGGACTAGACATTTTGAAATAAAGTGGTTTGTTTTCCTTTAGTTTTGCATATTTACATAATTGGCTAGGTAGTACTGATATATACTCATCTATATAATGTAATTATTAATTTATCATAATTTCAAAACAATGATATACATGTACTAACTGGAATATGAAATGATCTGTGAGACTCACCGACATACAAAATATCTAATAACGTTAGCATGGCACACTAGGATTTCAAAACTGTCCTTAATTTGCTCAGGCTCAGCTCGGTGAAAGTATTTTCTAAATGCAGCTTCAATACGAGATCCTTCTTCATAAAACTGCTACAAGATACAAGCAGTTATTAAATATGAATGTGGATTATAAATCGATATATTCATGTGATAAATTTATTCAGAATAGTGTCATCTTTCAATGCTGGGTAAATTATTAATTATATGCTCATATATAAATTCTCAAATTATCTCCACTCAATTTCAAAAACAAATAAAACCTTTGAAACAAGGATGTTGATGATGTTTTTATTTATATTCCTTGCCCTACATGATATGAAGCATTTATTTATCTTTATTGAACACTGCTTGAAAGAAATTTGGTCCATTTTGAAACTGGTCTATAGAGGAACTATCATAATTACAATTTGAATGATTAACATTTACTACAATAGAGGGCATTTATTTACTTTAACCAACAGATCAATCCACAGCCATAAAACACAAAATCCACAGGATAATTAGCTTCTAACAAACGCCTCAATAAACTGTTTTCACTGTGTGTAGTTTTACCATCACTGAATTTCTATACAACCTACACTGGCTTCTTGTTCAACGCATTAATTTGAAGATCATGTTAATCGCGTTTCGTGCAATTCACAACACCCTGTCATCCTACATTTGCGAACTTGTTTCATCGTACAAACCCACCCAGTCTACGCTTCACGAAAAAACTTTCTCTAAACATACCAAATCTTTCAGTCATCGAGCCATCTGCGATGCTGCTCCTGCCTTATGGAATGAACTATCCCTACATATCAAACTCTCAGATAATATTGACAATTTTAAGAAGAAACTTAACCAATGCCAACTCATATTAATACATTTTTTAAAACTATTCTGACATGAATAAATATTACATAAAGTTACAATGTATCGGTATATATCAGATATATTACCTTAACCTCTGGTTTCCAATGTCCAACTGGTGGTTCTGGTGGTATAGGTGCTCCTTCACGGATCATATCACAGTTTTTACAAGGTACTTGTGGTAAATACGATTTAATCAGTGCACCAGTTTCCTGCGCTCGTTGCATTGTAGATATTATTATTGCGTCATAGGGGTAGCCAAGTTCCCTCAATCTATTACCAGCTTTATCAGCTTGTGTTTTACCTGAAAAACGTATATTATTTCAACTATACATATACATTTGTAGAATGTGCAGCCATTCCTAGCGAATATGCCACCTGATTGTATACTGTTAATGCATACACACAATTTACAATAATTTCTAAATCGATTGGATACAGCTCTTAATTATCAAAATAAATAGACAGAAAAACAAATTTAAATGGGAGACGAATATGTTACTTAAAAAATGAATCATGAAATAATTATTGTGAAGAAAACTATGAGTGCAAGCTGAAATATGTCTTACCATCAATCAATATATTACATAACAGCATTGCGAAAATAAAACATACATACATACTTTCTTCGTAACAGTATTTTTTTCCTTTTGGTGTCAATATATGATTATAATTTTGTATTGCAATACCATATACAAAATCAAATATACTAGATATGGTAAAACAAATTTTCCGATGTACATCTGTTTGTTTTTTAAGATTCCATTTGTTCATTTGATTCTACTAAGGACAGGTTAATAAATAGAATAGAATCGAACATCATCTCACAACCTTCGGGTTGAATCTGATTGTAAATTAAACATACCGAGGAATATGAGAATCTGTAAATTATGTAATTTAGGGTTGGTTGAGGGTGAATACCATTTTTGCCTTGCATGTCCAAGTTATGTAAATGTTTAATGCAGTTTGACAACTTATCTGTACTTTGAATTTCAAAATTTGTATTCTACGTTTCTAAACACAGAGAAAATATACTTAACCAATTATGACTTGTAGATTTAAAAATTTAATAAAGGACTCCCTCTATATGTATTTTCCTATTTTTGATTTATTGTACCATAGGCCTGAGGACATTGTACTGAATAAATTCATATCATATCATATCATATCATATATCATATCATTTACTTACCTTTTTACTTTACCTTTTATTACTTTCAGCCAAAAATGAATTTGTAATTTCATTACAGTGTAATAAAACTGTATTATTATTATTATTATTATTATTATTATTATTATTATTATTATTATTATTATTATTATTATTATTATTATTATTATTATCATATCATATCATATATCAGAAATAGAATAGTTGCATTTTCCAATATAGATAGTGATCTTCTTTTAATACAAGTCATTACTGAAACATTACCTAAAATCTGTTATATTAAAGTGTGTTACTTTTCTTGTGATCAAGCCTTTATGTTGGATGCAACTGGTTACTAATAAACAAAAAAATTTTTGGGGAGACGGGTGAGTTTTCCGACTAGGGGAATCAGCCCTGAATTTATTTTATTGGGAGATAATTTAATGCCGCCACTATTGAATTTTCTAATCTTGGTTGCCTAGAGATTTATTTATATAAGACGTTGTCAACGAAAAATACCATGTTTTGAGGGATTTTAGGATTTTGTTCAGGGCATTCAGAATTTTATATTGCAAATAAAACTGAGAAGTGTGGGAAACACATCAAAAAATGGGGAAAGTTATTTGAAGTGTTGCACTGACCTGACTACTTCAAAGTTTTTAAAATTTCTATGTAAATGTATAGTTTTTATGAATATTGATCTTGTATTTTGAGCAGTACCAGAGTTGTATTTTAGTTGAAGTGACTCAAAAAAATAAATAAATACAAAACAAACAAATTTGACAAAGGAAGGAGTGATTACCAAGCTCAGTCAGCTTCCTGTCTTCATCCAATTCTGCAGATATATTATATTGTCCATGTCGAATCAAAAATAAATGTCTTGTGGCTGTGGACTTCACTGTGGACTTTTCCTTCACTGATTCACCAGTATCTACTTCTGTTTGTGAAGTTGAGGGCTTCACCAGACTGTTTGGATCCCGTCTAAATAAGTTAGAAATTATATTTATTAATGATTTATAAAATTATCATTCCACGACAGCACATTATTACTATGTATTCTGGTTATTTTGTTTTTTCTGTCAGTTCATGTCATTTGTTGGCCGTCTTCATGATTTACTACACTTTTATTTCACTGGTTACCCAATCTCTGCTATAGTATGAATTCACTCCAATGATTTTGTTCATTATGTATATTTACTGCAATGTCATAAAGAATGTGGTGGTCGCATTTTTGTTGCTATGGCAACTATCAGTTGCAGCAACATCGCATATGGGAAGTGTATAACTGCCATCAAATTTCTAGAAAAGCATTCATATTGAGATTACGCAAGCGCCGCTTCGAGTCACGCATGCAGTATGTGTTTACTTTGATTTGACGTAGTATTTTACCATGTCGTTTATTCGGTGTTATTTGCTTACTATACTTTCTATGTCAAAAGCAACTATGAGTTTACAATTATTTCTCAGTTCATATTGAGATTAGCATTGAGCTATATATCAGTTAATCAATGAGTTACGTCACAGTTACCCATTGACAGTCAAGGCAATATTTAGGTCAGATGTCAATAGAAAGAGGTTACCAGCTCAATGTTCATCAGGTAAATCTTTTGTATTCTACACTGTTCACTTGCATTACAGCGTACATTAGGTGCATACACCTAACTGCCGCACCCGGCAGGTAGTTACCAAGAGACTATGCAACATCTCCAGACACTTTGCTAAACGCTCCAACGACCGTTGTAGACGCGATAAATTTACATACACGCCAACATGACAATTTATCATAACAACGGACCAGGGCTTCAGATGGTCAACAAACATTCATCAAACAATCATGTTCTACTCATTGTTGATATCGGACACTTCATTATTTCATGCATACATACGCTCGTTCATTTAATACATTCTATTTTGAACATTTCACAAAAATAATAAACCTAATTGATACAAATATTTAAAAACGCCCCTAACATATAATGAAATTACCTAAATTTTCCTCGTTTTAATAGAATAAAGTTTAGTTTTGAATACAGTTTCTGACTTGATTATGTCAAAGCGTTTAGATAAAGACACTGAGATGGAAATTATTTGCCTCTCGCGAATGATCGACGGCGAAGGAAGTTGGACTAACGACGGCGAAGGAAGTTGGACTAACGACGGCAACGGTTCAAGGGATTCTGCCGCATTTCTGTCGCATCGGTTGAATATGTTTCAAAAGAAGTCAGTGAGCGACGGTCGTCGACTGAATGTTACATAAGAAATTGTTAAGTTTATCGAATTTTGTCTGCGATCTGAAGGATATTTGAAACTGGTATATGGTGACGGTGTGGAGGTGAAACAATATAGAAGATTCCAGGGAAAGATTGACTGGGCGATGAGTGTTCTGGCAAACTGGCAATGGGACCAGCCATTATGTGAGAAATTGAAAGGGACACTCACAACGCTAATATTATTAATATAAATCCATTGACAACATCTCAACAAACTACAAATCAAAAGAATTTATATTTATCATTTCTTGTTAATATTCATTCCCAGTTTTATGTTGGTATTATATTTCTCTCAAGTGTTACACAGCAATGATTTTTGTTCCTACAAAGCAATAGAATAGTCCAACTACTTCTCGTTCCTCGTGGCCAAACATCAAAGGCATTCCGCGTCCGGTGTTTTGATTAACTGTCACATGAGCGGGTATGTAACTTTATTGCGTCTACAACGGTCATTGGAGTGTCTAGGGAAGTGTCTGGGGATGTTGCAAAGTCCCTCAGTAATTACCTAC